TGTTTATTTATTGAATAAACTGAGTCATTGGCCCTGTACAATTTTTCATATTCTGGATTTGGCTGACAGCATCTTTATGGTGTCATTCAAGATGTCTTTCTGTTCCCAAGATCTCTTATAAATTAGGAATTAGATCACATTTGGGCTCATTCTGGCAAGAACTCCTTATTGGATGTGCTGGGCCTCTTCCTATTGCATCGCATCAAAATAACTGATGGTCCCATGGTTAGTGACATTTAAAATTGGTGTGTCCAGGTCCTGATCCCTCTGTTAGAAAGTCTGCCAACTTTTCACTTACTGGCCTTAGCAGGGGGCTCCTCTAAACAAAGACAAACGGTGTCTCTCCTGCTCAAAGCCCACCATTGGCTCCCATCATTGCTAGAACAAAGGCCAAAGTCCCTGCCTGACCCCTCTTTTCTCCTGCCCCCAAGCCATCCATTCCAGCCAGGGACCTCCTTAAAGTTCTTCACCATGCCTGGCACATGCCCGCCTCTGTGCCTTTGCAGTGGGCTTTCCTTCTACCTGGAACACTCTTCCCCACATGGCTCACTCAGAGTTTGAGATCTCAATCATAAAACCTCAGAGAGGCTATTCCTGACCATCCTCTCTAAAATAGCACCCCACCCCTTAGGATCCCCTCCCCTGCTTTCTTTTTCTTCACTGCCCATCATGAATCTTGATAAACAGTTACATAATTGCTGTTTCTCTTTCCCTTAGAATGGGAGCAAGTCCATGTCCATGAGGACATGGATTTGCTCACTGTAGAAGTCCCAGCCCCTAGCACAAGAACATTTTATCCACCTGTGGCAAGCACATAGTAGGTGCTCAGCAAATAGTCCCTTCCCTTTCCTTTCCTTCCCTTCCCTTCCCTCCCTTCCCCTCCCCTCCCATTCCCTTCCCTTCCCTTCCCTTCCTTCCCTTCATTAGACAGGGTTTTGCTCTGTCACCCAGGCTAGAGTGCGCTCACATCATCAAAACTCACTGCAATCTCAAAATCCTGAGCTTAAGTGATCCTCCTACCTCAGCCTCCTGAGTAGCTGGGACTACAGGTATGTGCCACCATATAGAGCTAATTTTTTTTCTTTTGTTGTTTTTTTTTTTTTGAGACAGAGTCTCACTCTGTTGCCCTGAGTAGAGCGCCATGGTGTCACAGCTCACAGAAACCTCAAACTCTTGGGTTCAAGTGATCCTCTTGCCTCACCCTCCAGAGTAACTGGGACCACAAGCACCTGCCACAATAGCCCAGCAGTTTTTCTTTTTTTTTCTTTGAGAAAGGGTCTCCCTATGTTGCCCTCGGTAGAGTGCTGTGCTGTCACAGCTCACAGCAACCTCAAACTCTTGGGCTTAAGTGATTCCCTTGCCTCAGCCTTCCAAGTAGCTAGGACTACAGGCATCCACCACAGCTATTTTTGTTGTTGTTATTGTAGTTGTCATTGTTGTTTAGCAGGACCAGGCCAGGTTCGAACCTGCCAGCCCCAGTGTATGTGACTGGTGCCCTAACTGCTGAGCTACAGGTGCCGAACCTGTTTTTCTATTTTTAGTAGAGATGGGGTTTCTACTCAGGCTGTTCTCAAACTCCTAAATTCAAGCAATCCACCTGCCTCGGCCTCCCAGAGTGCTAGGATTACAGGCATAAGCCACTGCACCTGGCCCTTCATTTTTTTT